AATACCACAGGCCCTGGCCTTGTGGTGGGTCAGAGGCGAGAGGCAGTTGGGGTGAAGGGCAGGCCCAGCTCTGCTGTTTCCATCTGTACGCCCTTGGGAGAGTTATTTCATCTGGCCAAACCTCAGTTTCCTCTTCTGTCACAAGGGACAGTAATAGACTGCCATCGGAGGGTGAGCCTCCGGAGTAATGTATGTAGGAAACACACATTGGCACGTGGTCAGAGATGGGTGAGGGAAGTTTCCCCTGCAGGGTCAGCAGTTAGAGTTGAGCTGTTTGCAGGGCAAACAGACGCAAGAGTGGGTTGATCCTACAGTAGTAGTCCAGCGTGAGGTCAGAGGCTGGCCCAGACCCAGCCTTCCTGGCCCAATTCTGGTGGCCCCCTTGAGGTTGGGGGGTGTCTCACCCACCATCCCGCCAATGACTGTTTTGTTCATGTAGCAATCATTTATCGGCCACCTGCTCTGCACAGGGCACAGTTCTAGGCACCTGGTATTTAGAGGAGAGGAGGCAAACGTCAGAACGATAATCCCACCAACGTTGTTATTGTCGTTCGTTGCTGTTGATTCAGCCCTGACTCATGGTGATCCTGTGTACAACAGAATGAAACATTGCCCAGTTCTGTGTCCTGCTCATGATGATTGGTATGTTTGAGCCCATTGTTGAGGCTACTGTGTCAATCCATCTCATGGACAGTTTTCCTCATTTTCATTGACCCTTCACTTTACCAAACATGATGTCCTTTTCTAGCAATTGGTCTTTCCTGATGACATGTCCAAAGTAAGCGAGTTGAAGTCTCGCCATCCTTGCTTCTAAGGAGCATTATAGTTGTATTTCTTCTAGAACTGATTTGCTCATTCTTCTGGCACTTTGCAGTATTGTAAAGCCTGGTGGAGGAGACCCACTGGGACTCTGGGGCATATGGCGGGGATCCTGGGTACTGGGACAGCTTTCTGGAGGAAGAGACACCTGGGCAGAAGCTACTGCCAGAGGGAGATGGGTGGTGATGGTGGGCGGGAGAGAAGCACTTTCCAGGTGGAGAAGGCCCTGGGTGTGAAGGAGCATGAGGCATCAGAAGAACCCAAAAAAGACCAGTGTGGCTAGAGCCAGCAAGCGTGCAAGGAGGCCATGAGGCTGGAGGGGTCAGGAACAACCAGGCCAGTGAGTGGCCCTTGGGTAGGATAGGGATGTTGGCCTAAAAACCACTGGAGAGTTTTAAGATTAGCATTTTAAATTCCAGAAAGAAGGCTCTCAAGTTTTCATTTCATATTTATTCATAGTCAGTCTCACCCCACAATGTGACTAGTCTTAATACACCTAATTAAATAAAAAAAAAAAAAAATCAACTAGTCAGCCCAGAGAAAATAAGGCAGAGCAGAGAAGAAACACTGAGTTTGACGTAGTGCTGACTGCAGTTGTGGGATCATGTGGGAGAAGGCCGTGTTGGGAGGTGGCATGGTGGGGACTAGGGCATGAGTAAGCTGAGGACAGAGGCGTCCCCCAAGCAGAAATAGGCATGGGGTGGGTGTCAGGGTGTCCAGAGCCCAGGGCACAAGGCCATACAGCCTTACAGCTGGATAGGTGGGCCACAGTGAGGTTTTAATGGGCCCAGGGTGCTAGGCGGGAGTTCAAAGTCCAGGGATGTTGGGATGGGGCAAGCATTCTGTCCTGAGTCTTCAATGGCCAGGAGGACAGGATTGGGAGAGGACACCTGGGGCTATGTGGTAGTACGTGAAGGGCCCTCATGGTTGAGTCTGCTTGGCCCCTCATCAACATAGCTGGGACAGCTGGAAAGGAGCCGCCCCCAGGAAATAACCACACCTCGAGCCATGGGCATCTGGACCCTCGACCCCTAGGCATCTTTCTGGCTCATCTCCCACCCATCCTGTCAGGCCCCTAATGCCAGGCACAAACTCACTTGTGCTTCTCATCTCCACACCTCTGCTCTGCCCCTGCTAGACTCTCACTTCCTGTATCCCAGAGCCCCGAAACCAGTTACCTTTGAGTGGATTCCAACTCCTGGCAACCCCGTGTGTCAAAGTAGAAGCCCTGTGTGTCAGTGTGCTCCATAGGGGTTTTAATAGCTGATTTTTTGGAAGGAGATTGCCAGGCCTTTCTTCTGAAGTGTATCTGGGTGAACTTGAACCTCCAACCTTTTGGTTAGCAGCCGAGCACATTAACTATTTGAACCACTCAGGTATTCCTAACAAGTCGACCCCAATTCCAGGTGCTCCCATGTGTGTCAGAGTAGTACTGTGCTCCACGGGGTTTCCAAGAGCCCCAGAATTCCAGTGGATGCGTGTGTCATCCTGTCCTGTGTGGCCTGTCCCAGGCTGTTCTCTCACAGTTTTCCTGCTTCCCAAGGGTAGGAGTAGTGGCATCTCAGTTTCTGGAACGCTGGCCGATGGCCTGGGGCCTGGCCTGCACCAATGCCAACCTCTTCTGCTGGCTCTTCTCTGTCCCATTCCTTGTCTGACTCCCCCACCCCCAGCCTCCACAGTTCTCAGGCTGCAGGTGGGTTCCTCAGCTAGTTTCCTTGGGGTCTGTGCGCTGCCCCCTCCACCTTGAACAAGTCATTGCATATCTAGGTTAGTTTTAAATAGCTAGACCCAAAACTCTCCTTTTAGCTGGAAAGCACCGGTGAAGGAACTGGCAGAGAGGCACACTCGGCATGCATTTTATTTTTACTCCTCTCCCTAGTCTCACAGTGAGCCTGGATCTCGGTGTGTAGCATTTCCAGGAGCCCACAGTGAATGCTCATCTTCCATGTGACCTTGGACACACGAGTTCCTCTCTGGGCCTCGATGCCCTCAACAAGCGAGGCAGTGGGGCAGTCAGCTCCACTGTTCTGACTTTCTGACCCTGCTCCTGGAACCTTGGGTTGTAGCTCTGGCAGCAATCAACACCTGTCCTGGGATTTCCCAGGAAGCCCAGCCCTTGGTGCAAGGGAGGCCAAACCCTGATTTGATGATTGAAGCCTGGAATCTTCTCCCTTCATCTACCAGCAAAGCTGGTCTTGGAAGGTCATGTCACCTCCCACTGTAAGCTGGGGAGGCCCCGGTCCAGGTCCCAGGTTTGGCTGAATACGACCCATGGCTGGGCAGGTGGGAGCCTATGGGCAGATGCCAGTCAGCCAGGAAGATGCCTGGGGTGAACAGAGCCAGGGCAGGGGGCATGCAGTGGCCTGGCCAGGTGTGGAGGACTGATGGGGAGACACAGGGCCGCCAGGAGGGGCTGGGGCCTGCGTCATCGACCTGTAGGGACCACAGACAGGTGCTTTTTGTATCCTCCCCCCTCGCTCCCCAGGACCTTGCTTGTAGCTGGGACTCTGTGTTGGTGGCATTCAGAAGATGCATGCTGCACTAGGCCCAGATGATCTGGGCCCACCATAATAGTCCTGTTCACATATACAGAAATCCACAGCACACAGAGCGTGCCCCCACCCACTACCCCACTGGTGTTTACCAATCTCTTCCAGGTGGCCTCATTTTAATGAGGAAACCAGGCTCAGAGAAGTTAAGGGACTTGTCCAAGGTCACACAGCTGGGAAATGATACGTTTAAGTCTGACCTGGGCTTTTTCAGAACTCTGTGTATTAAACCTTGAAAAGTCCAACAGTAACCACACTGGTAGCAATAGAAAACTGTCCAGTGTAGTGAATTCCCTGAGGACAAGTGGGGCAGAGCTTCCTACTCCATCCCCACCCCCAATAAGACTAAGCCCAGAGGCAGTGCCTGGGGACACCCAGGGGCATGAAGGGAAGGGAGGCCAGGGGGACTGAGGGGCACCTGGGGACTTGAGAGCAGACACCAAGAGCAGGGGATGCGTGTGGGGCACGGAGGCGGGGTGGTGGTGTGAAGGGCATGGGGGGCACAGGGAAGGCGTGGGGGATATGTGGGGGGAGTGAGGGGCACATGGTGGGCGTAAAGGGTGGAGCGGCATGACGAGAGACAGGGGTGTGAGGGGGACTTAAGGGGGCTTAAGGGAG